AAAGGATAGAGATATAAAAATACTGGTATAAATATAGAGGTAGATATAAAATTATTAGTGTTCCAAATAGGAAAAAAGAAAACAAGAGGAGAGTTCACTATTGCTTATTTTTGCTAGGGTATAAGTCAGGGTTACGGGTAAATGAGGCGATAAACTTTGACTTATCAGCCAAAAATAAGCAAGGTTTATATCGCATAGAGAAACCAAAAGGCAAAAAGGAAAGGTTGGTTTATGTTCCTAAACAAGTCATCAGAGAGTTAAGGAAACACAATTGGAAATCAAATCAGACTAACCGACATAATTTTTACCATTTTTTACGGAAAATTAAGCGAGAATTAAACCTTTCGGCTGAAACAGAATTATCACCGCATACTTTACGGAGGGCTTTTGCTACTTACCATGCGGAATCTGGTATGCCTTTACCACTATTGCAGAAATTATTAGGACATTCCAGCATCCGCACTACTGCTTTATATTGGCGGAATATTTATCGCGGAGATGATGACAATAATGATACGGCGGATATTCTAACCGGTAAAAACTGACTAGAAAGGCATGAGCCGCCAGAACCACCAAGCATGGAAATTCTTACTCCGCCGAAAGTTGACACCTTTCCGGAAATGCTACAAGTCCCCAAGCCTATTTTTATAGCGAATGAGCCAGCAATTCCCACTCAAAAACCAATTCAGCAAGATAATTCACCACCGCCCATCTTTACTGAGCCGAAATGTGCTAAAATTGACTATCAGCTCAAACCAGTAATCAACCAAATTAAGCCTAAACCACCAAGGAAAACTTTCCTTAACAGCAAAACCACCCCACAACCCGAAATTAACCAGCCATTACCACTAACCACCCAAAAAGAGCAGATTTTATTACAAGAAATTAAACAGTTAAGAGAACAATTAAAACAAACCCAAGCGGAAAATAACAATTTAACTGCCAAACTGTCCCAAACCGCCCAAGAAAAGACCAAATTAGAACTAACCGCTACCCAAGAAAAACAACGAGCCA